TAAAGACTTTTTAAATAAAAGAAATTACATCTTTAGAATTGCGTTTTTCGTTGTAGAAGGAGTCGGTCGTGGTGACAAGTGTGTTTGACCAGGAGGGCTGATTCTGATGAGCTGGAACTGAAAAAAAAAACATTTCTGTTATCACAATAGACAAATTATGTTTATTTAAGCATTAAACTACAAATTATTTTACTTTGATCTGACCTGCCATTGGTTTAGAGTTGAGGCCAAGTTCAGAGTGAAGTGTAGGATCTCTTTTTTCAAGATGTTCAATCATCCTCCTGCTGGCTTTGTCCCCTTTTTTCCTCACCATGTCGATGAGGCAGCGAGCCATGTCTGCTTTCCCGGAGCAGTCCTCAAGCACAGAGTCTGTTTCCCCATCGTTCAGCAGACGATCTTCCAAAAGGTCATCCAGCAGCTGCTTAATTAGAGGTTTTGAGACTTTTTCCACAAATCTCCCTCTCACTCTGGAAAGCTCCTTGTCTGCAGAGAAACACTGAATTTAAAAATACAAACAAGGACATTAATTGATGTGAACTGTGATTAATGAGGATTTACCAGCCATCCCTCAGAGGTTCAGTATCCTGTCTCCTGAGATCTTAAGATGTGTATGTGCATATAGAGGAAGTGTTTTAAAAGCCATCTGATAACATGAGTTCTAAGTAATCGGTTGGAATCTCGTTAAGCTAGACTAACCTTGTCAGATTCTTCACTGAAACGGTTGACATTTGGGATTGAAATGATGCCAACTAAGCTATTCATGAATATAAAGGAGTATTTAATGTAGAATATCATGAAAAGTGTTTTACTTGCTTGACTAATTTGTTAAATGTTGTACGGTATTTAAATTTTCATGCTTTTTGGGTTTATTTAATAAAGATTATATTATTCCTAACAAAACTGTCATGTAAATAAGCCTCCTATTGTATTTGAAAATGAAAATAGAAGTGTTTTTGTTTTTCTTACTTGGAATCTAAAGGCAAGCAAGCATGTTGTAATTTGTCAATCAGAATCTTCTAAAAAGCAAAGAAGAAAACAACTTAGTATGGGCACGAATGTTATAATAACATTTATATTTTGATTATGCATTTGAAAAACTCTTTATTTTCCAGCCTGTAATAATTATAAAAATACATTATTATCCATTGTCATTTCTTACCTACATTTCTGGAGAAAATTGGTCAACTATACTTTTATCATGATAATTGCTCATCATAATATTAATATTAAAATATACTAATACATACATTAGATTGATTTAGTTGATATTTATCTCTGATTGCAATTAAGTTCTTCTAGAGACACATAACTTTCTCTTCAGCCCTTAAAACATGTAATCTAGTTCTAAAAAGAGGATCAATTCTACATTTATCATGTTTTACTGTAGTATATTGATGTAAGTAATAAAATATATATATTTTTTTGTCAGTTCATTGTTAATACATATAAATAAAAAATTAAAAATTGGTTAAAACATTCCACGTGCAAGTATGACTGCTGCCGCAGTCTGTTTTAGAGGGAAGGAGCTAAATTATTACACATGGAATCACCTGGTAGAGGTGGCCACTGGGGTATCCACTGATTGGCTAAGGGTGGCCCCCACTGGCATGCGGGCAGACAGAGGGACAAAACTAAGAATATATATATATATATATATATATATATATATATATATATATATATATATATATATATATATATATATATAATCTGTCTTAAAGTTGCTTTACATAATATAACTTGCATTAGATCATTTACGTTACTTTAAAACCAGTCAGGGAGGGACAGTTAGGCTAGTAGGCAGGAGCAGGTTTAATATTGAAAATTTTTTCACGTGCATCAAAACGTAAAAAGAAACAAGAAGAAGAGGAGAAAAAGAAGAGGCAGCGGGTGGCTTTTTAGAAGTTTTTGTCGGGCAGCCATCTGACTGCTTTCAACCTGCTATTATCAGAGCCAGAGGCCCTGGAGCGAGTTACAACACTACTGCATATTTTTCTGCAACAATTACAGAAAAGAAACTGAATGCATTTTTACTGGTGGCAATGGAGAATGGATTTACAACCTCTCTGGGTTTTGAAAACATTATTGAGG